ATCGGTGCAGAGCCACTTCCAGCTCATTCCCATACATTTGCCAAGGACAGCTTTTCCCCAATGTAGCCTGAGCTGTGGTTTAGATGAAAGGAAATTTGCAGTTTAAAAGCATCCTTCCATTTCAGTCAGACTTTTCCTTTGCAGAGTGTTAGCACTGTCATTTCCTACTCGGGTGGAACCAATTGGTATCTCCTTCTGTGGCCTCAAGCTTGGCAGCGTGACCCTCTGCCACAGCGGTGCTGCTGCGCTGGGCTGGCAGCTGCCTCTCCACCATGACAAAACTGTTTGCATTTGCTGGCACTCCTGACATCTCTTGTTGAGGTTGTCACAACAGCAGCAGCTGAAGTGGTTGTGTACCCATCAAGGAGAGCAGGCTCTGGATCTCTGCCCTGCTCTGGGCATGGGGACACTGCTGTCTGCATCCTTTGCCAAAGGCCAGATCCAGGAGGTGGCATGTGGCAGCATCATAACACACCCCCTTTTCATCGGCAGCAGGGGGGTTCCCTTGGGGTGTCTGGAAAGGGGAGCTCTCTTTGCCAACCTGCCAAACTAGATTTAATTCAGCTCCCCAAAAGGAAGCCTCCTGAAACTGAACACACCCCATGGAAAGTGCCCTCCGGCAGCTGCAGAAAATCTGAGGAAGACTCTGCTTATTTCCAGACTAGAAAAACCAATCTGATGTTGAAAACATGGCTAAAATAGAAGCCTGCTTAGCAGAGGAAGTCCAGGGAAGGCTGCAGTGGGTAAAGGTGGTGCCAAAACTACCTCTTCCAAACAAGCCTGGAAACAGGCATATTTTGCAACTACCAGAAATCCAGAGCTTCTTCTCAGTTGGGGCACTGCATTTCATTAAAGTCCCTTAGTCCAGTTCTAAAGCTGAATTCACAGTTTGCTATCATGACATTATGAAGTCGAATGCCACTGGCAATGGAAAAAGATATTGCCTCCCAGGCGGGAGTTTCAGGAAAGTGTTCCAGGAGGCAGAGGGGGAAGGGCTTCCCCAGCTGAATTTTACAATAATTTTTGCTGGCAGAAAAGTCTGAATTTAAAGAAACATGGTTTTCTGATTAGAAAATGCTCCCCTGGGTTTTCTGTCCTTAGCTGCCTGGTTTTCATCACTCTTGTGACATTCCTGAGGCTTGGCAGTACCCAGAGCTGCTTTGGAGGCACTGAGCCGGGTGTGACCCTGCTTTGAAAAGTTTCCACCTGAACAGCAAATCCTGGTGAAGGAGTGCAGGAGAGGTGCACCTGGATGGCAGGAGAAGGGAGAGAAGGGGAAACATTGCCAGCTGCAAACCACCTGCTCCTCCCATGGATGTGCTGGCGCTCCCAGGGCAGGCAGGCTGGGAGCTGGCAGGGGCTGGGCCCTGTGGGTATTCTGCTCTCTGTGGAGCCCCAGCTGCTGCAACCATCATGGTTATTTTTGGCATTTTGCCCCTTTGTCATTCAGTTACTTGTTTTCCTAAGCAGCACGGCACTGGGGCAGGAATTGCATTGCTCTTTGCCCACACTTCCCCAGGCTGAGGCCTGTCCCCTCCTCCCTCCCCTCATTTGCATCATCCTTTGGGATTCTTCTCACCCACCAAGTGCCCCTGGCCTTTCCCTTTTTGCCCTGGCTGAGCCCTCTGGGAGCAGCCAGGAGGGAAGATGGAGGGAGGTGGATGGCTGCATCCTTCCTTTGATTTGGCAAACCCTGTTTTTCCCCAGTTGCATCATTCAAAATGCATTCAGGTCTCTCCCAAACACAACACTAGAAATGCTGCCCTTGGAAGGAGCCTGAAAGGCAGCAGCTATTTAGGCAGACAAAGAAACCAAGAACTGAAGCCTTTACCCTTCCTCCCCTTACTCTTCCTATCCCTGACATCTCACCAGCACTGGAAACAGCATCACAGAAACACAGGGAAGCAAGGTGGTGCCTCAGAAAAGTCAGGCTGGCTGCTGGCAGGACAGCTCCAGCTCTGCTGGTGATCACATGGCAGAGGAGCAGCTAAGATGAAGTGTTCCCCTCCTTGGCTTCAGGGAGGAACCCTTATGGGAGCAGAAAACTGGCTGCTGAGGATGAGCCTAAACTAAACCCAGTGTAGGGGTCAGTGAAACACCTTTGCACCTCCTAAAGCTTCCTCAGATTTGCCCTTGTTCAAGTCAAAACTGATGTATCTACAGGACCCATTCCCTTCTGGAAACTTGCCGCTGGTTCTGCCTGATACATCCCCACTGCGCAGTACCTACACAGCAGCCCTTGCCCTGCTGCTTCCCATGATGTCAAGCCTGATATGGACCTTGCTGTGGAATGGATGTGGCTGACATTTAGCAGGAATGCCAGTTCTCGTCAGAAGAGTGCCTGGGGAGATGCAGGCTGCGCTCAGCCATGCGGCTGACGAGACCTGCTGTTTTGCAGGCTCGGTCAGCACCTCACTTCATTGAAGAAATGCTCTTGGCTAATACTGGGTGATGTTTCCCACAAATGGCATGGGCAGAAAAGATGTTTTGCTTGGCATAAGCTGGCCTCAGTGCAATCTTTCCAGTGTTCTACTGAGTGGAAGAAACCAATTTGGATGAGTTTGGAGCCAGGCTGGGTTTAGCCATGCCACAAGGTACAAGAGCAGCGAGTGAACTGCATGAGGAGGCTCAGCTTTCCCCCTGCCAGCCTCACTTACAGAGATCTCTCCTGGTAAAAGCTGTGCTCCATTTCTCATGATGCAGCAGAATCAGCAATATCCCAGCTGTGGGAGATATCTTTCCAGGATTCCCTGTGTGCAAAGATGTCAAGACAATTCAAAGTCCCAAGCCTATCTGGGGCTACCACCTGTAGTGCATTAATTTTACATGTGGGCAAAGTGAGTCGTTTTTCATATCTTCCTCGATCACAGACTTGTTGGCAGATCTGGGAAGAGGAGCCTGTGTTCCCCCCGCCCCCCCCCGCTACATCTAATTGCATTAGAATTTCAAGTGAGTTCTGGAGCTCTCTCAGCTCCATCATGCCTTTTTTTAGTATGTGTATGTTTCAGCCACTTCTTCATAAAGAGAACTCATCTTTCTAAACACAGTGAAGTTCGGGAGCTGCTAAGAACCAAGTGTTTGGCTTGCCCCAAGTACGGCCATTTACTCAAGGGCCATGATTCTTAGGAACCTCATGAGGATTTGACCCCCCACTCTGCTCTGTCCCAGGCTGTTTTGTGTTGACTCACAACAGCCCTTTGGCAAAAGCAGTGGAATGCCCAGCTCTCCAGGGAACAGCTGTCAGGACTGTGCCAGTGCCAACACAGACACATCCCTCCAGTGCAGGGCAGACCCACCGGGACCACTCACGTTCCTTGTGGCCGCCCGGGCGGAGCATGAGCTCCCTGCCAACCTGCCTGTGGGTCCCGGGGCGTGAGGAACAGGGATGCGGTGAGGCCGAGAGCACCTCGGCTACCCCACCTCAGCGGGTGCAGCCTCCCGGCAGGGCTGGGAGGAGCAGCACCGCCAGCCCGCTGCGCGCCCGCGGGGCCAGCGCCGCTCCCCGCCCGCCCGGCCGGGACCCCCCCGCCAGCTGCGGGATCCAGCTGCGGGATCCAGCTGCGGGATCCAGCTGCGGACTCGGCTCCGGCAGCGGCAGCGGCGCCGGCTGCGGCGGAGCAACAGCGGCCTCCAGTGCCGAAACCTCCTCCCGCTCTCCATCCAGGGACCCGCACTCCGCGTCCTGCCGCGCCGGGCGCCGCGCGGAGCCACAGAATCACGGAATGGGTTGGGAGGGACCTTTAAAGGGCGTCTGGTCCAACCCCCATGCCATGGGCAGGGACATCTTCCGCTAGACCAGGTTGCTCCGAGCTCCCGGCAGCCTGACCTTGAATGTTTGTGGGGATGGGGCATCCACAACTTCTCCGGGCAACCAGTATCACACCACCCTCACTGTAAAAAAATTCTTCCTAATACTTAACCCAACCCTGCCCTCTGTCAATTTGAAGCTATCCCCCCTTGTCTTGTCACTCCAGGCCCCTCATAAAATGTTCCTGTTCAGCTCTCTTGGGAGTCCCTTTAAGTACTGGAAGAGGCTCTAGGCTCTCCTTGGAGCCTTCTCTTCTCTGGGCTGAACACTTCAGCACTCTCAGTCTGTCTCCATTGCAGAGATGCTCCAGCCCTTGGTGCACCTTCTTGGCCTCCTCTGGGCTTGCTCCAACAGGTCCATATCTTTCTTATGTTGGGTGTCCCAGAGCTGGACACAGCACTGCAGGTGGGGTCTCACGAGAGCAGAGGGGGAGAATCCCTCCCTCAACCCACTGCTCACTCTTCTTCTGATTCAGCCAGGACACAGATGGTTTCTGGGCTGCAAGTGCACATTGCTGGCTCATATCCAGCCACTCATCCACTGGCACTCCCAAGTTCTCCTTGGCAGGGCATGTCCTCTCCCGCCAGCCCCTGGTACCGGTAGCAAAGCTCACCAAGGCCACTAAGAGAAACGAAAAGATTTTTGCCTAGAAAAACGGAGGTTTTTGGGTTTCCTGAGGCACTGGGTAGCTGTGATCTGCAGGACAAGTGTGAGGCTGGTGACTCTTGGTGCACAGGGACCATGTGATGGGGCATATGGACAAGGCTGGAGGTATGTATGTCAGTGTGGAGATGACTTGTTGGACTCTTCCTCCTGGCAAAGACTCTGGAGTAAGGGCTTTAATGCCCTGTAATTAACAAAAATAATTGCAAGTGATCAGAATGCTAAAATCTCCTATTGTGTGGATGCTGGAAATTTAGGAAAGAAAAACAAAATTCCTGATGCAAAAATGAGCCTTCTTTTTAAGCCTGGCTCTCTCCTTGGGCATGTCCCCGCCTTGTCCCTGCAGCTCTGTATGGACATAACCAGAACAAGCCATATTTTTCAGCAAGGTACTATAAGTGTCAGGGAAAGGGGTCTGCTGTGTGTGTAAGAAATCCCAAAGCACGACATGGTAATGCTTCCACTTTATTAGGAGTTTCTGCAGGTGAGGGACAGCTTTGTGGTCTCTTCTCCAGAAAGGTTGCACCTCTTAGTTAGCAGATCGTGGAGATGGCTTCAGGCACTTTCCTCTGTTCTTTATGCGCACATTAGTGCCTCTTTGCCTGGAAGAGACATTAAAAATGCTGGAGGGTGCCTTCAGGTCCCTGAGACACAGAAGAGCCTGGCTCAGAGGACAAAGGCAAAAGGAACAGAAAATGAAGCTTAAATCATCATCTAAGTGTTATTCACAGCAAGCAAGGCCACATATTCTTGACAGGGAGTTCAGGGTTACCATGGACATGTGTTAATTAATTCCAGTAAGCTCAAGAGTGCTTCCTGACACCTCCTGGCAGAATAATTCACCTCTGTTGCTGCAGGACAGCACTAAGACACCTCTAATGCCTGTCTGGCTGCAAACAATAAAGGTTATGAATTTGTTTTGTAGGTTTTTACAGACAAATGCCTGCCACTGTGTCTTGTTTGGGGTCTGGCCTGCTCCCATTCTCATGATTTTTTCTGCAGCAAAAGTGAGGGATATATGAAAAAGGCACCTTAAAATTTTTTTTTTTCCCCTCAGTAGTGGACCTGATTACTCTGAATTTTTCCATTTTCACATAGAATCACGTCGTTCTCCTCTTTGTAAAGACAGACCCATTTCTCAGGTGCATAGAGAAATGCTGGTAAAATGATTTGCATTTTGCAAAACACATTTTGTATGCTGGTCACAGTGAAGTGACCAAAGGCGACAAGTGAGACACTGCTGCCGCAGGGACCCACCAGATGCTCTCCATAGTTATTCCCAGAGTCCTTGCAGGCTTCCAGCTCTTGTCAGACCAGTTGCACACACAAAACTGCAAATGACACTTTATCCTGCCTCTCAGCTACCTGACTTTCCCCTATGAACCAAAGCTCTATAGATGAGGACACTCTGTTTATCTCTCCCCGAAGACATTTGGCACCACACAGCTTCAGAGTCCTGGTGCCTGGCCCAGATCACCCTGGCCAGGAGACCAAACAGCTGTTGTTCCTAACCTCAGCATTTCTTTGTTTGAGAACAGGGCTTGGGGCTCTGACCCGCAGGAGCAGCAAATTTCCAGCTGCAGCTGCTCAGAGCACAAAGGGGAGTTTGAAGAGGTCCAGGGACACAGTGCCTGTCAACACAAGGCGGGTACCAGCCCCAGCTTCTCATCCATCCCTTCTCCCCTCTGACTCCTGTTTGGCTCTGAAGATGCCACCAGCTCAGTCTCTTTCTTTTTTGTACCCTAAACTTTCCTTCTTGTGACCACTGAAGTCTCCCAACCCTCTGAAGCTGTTCCCTGCACTGGGGAGATGAAGCATCCTCGATGCCACTTTGCACCCAGCATAGCTGACTTTGGAGCCTTTCTCACTCACTTTAACCCACTCTTGGTTCATGGCCAATGCCCTAATGATGTTGTGTCTGATGAACCTCCCACCCCCATCTGTTGCACAATGCAGGCGACAGCTGGTGCTGGGCTGCTGCCTTCCAGCACGGTCATTACTGCCCTGCCAGGCTGTGCTGGGTCATTAACCGTGGTGCCTTTGTTCAGGAGATCCCACTCAGCATCTCTCTGCCTGACTGCATCATCTTCACCCTTAAAAGGTAAACCAGCAATTGAGCAGGCTAGGAATGGAATATAGGGCAGCAGCCTGGGTTAATGAAGCAAAGAGGGGACAACCAGACCAACAATTCTTATCCAGGCTCTTTTTTCTAGTGATTTGGACTCTGTTCCTTGTCACTGCAGAAGTTAACTGGGAGGTGATGTGCTCCTTAGAGCAGAATTTGGCTCCACATTCAGGGACATAAAAGATGGAATTTGAGCTTCTGTTAGAGATGACTCTGCGGGTGGCAGATGGGCTTGTGAGCCTGATCACCAAAAATCCCTACCTACACCAGGTGAAGTCAACAGTGAAGCTCCCTTAACCCTGCAGACTGGGGCATCTGGCTCCAGATAAAACTCAATCTTCCCAACAGAGATTTTCAAACCACCTAATAGCATTGAGTTGGAAGTAATTCCTTCACTTGTCTGACACAGAGTGCTTCCAATGTATAAATATACTTTAAATTACCTAGGGCCCAGGCCAGATGAAGTGAATCAAATCTTGCCAGAGACATTGCTAGCATTTGGACCTAGCCTTCTGCTAAAACAGTACAATCTGGCACCAGCACAGATTAAATATAAAGCTCATTCTTAAAAATACCCAGAGCAAATTGTATCCTTGCATATGTAGAGAAGACAGAAAGCAGAGCTCAGCTATAAATCGCTGAGGTGAAAAAACGTAGTTTTTCCTCAGCCACCACACATCCGAGGTCATCTGGAAAAATATTTTTCTGCCTGCATGCTAGATCTGGGCAGACTTCGAGGACTTTGCCATTTGTCTGAGATCCTGGATGCCCGCCAGCACAGTCTGAGCTATCGCTGCAGTTTGGCAGCTGCAGGTATGGGGAGATTTGGGCCGTGCAGTCCCTGCTTGTGGGCAGCTCATGTGCTGAGCTGCACACAGTGGACCTATTTCTCAGCCACAGTCCACGTGCTCAGAGCAGTGGGTGCAGCATCTGTGCGGGAGGCCAGATCCGTGCCAGATGTGCTGGGCTCACTGCCCACGCTCCACCCAGCTGCATGCAAACAGCTTTCTTTCTAGGAAATCCCAGGCATATGTAGTAGCCCTCATCTGTGTGATGTTTAGCCTTGCAGCAGGTCCAGATACTCACATGTTCTGAAGGCACAACAGACACTCGTTGCTGTACAGGACGTCATCCGTGCCACAGACGGGTTCAAAGATCCTTGTACAACCTCTGTTCAGGTTGAAATTGCCACAGGCTGGCTGGGGACACAAAAGAGTAATGTTGAAAATGTTAATAATTTTTTTGATTTACTGAAGGAGCTCTGCTTTCGCAGTGAGGTGCACATTTTTTCTATCTTGATAACCCATCCCAGCTTGCTCAGAGCTCTGCTATGAGCTCTCAGAAACACTGGGATCTTTTGCCACCATGTTCTTTGGCCAGCTGAACTCCTGGCACACCTGCTGCACACCTTAGGAGTAACAGTACAGAGTAAATAAGTGCTCCATGGGCAGTGCCTGACCATATTCTTCTCAGTTTTTATTTTTATGCCCCAACAATACCTGTCCTCACACTTGCAAGCCACAGAGCAAAGGGAGCTCTGATCTTCTTGGCAGATGACAGCAGTACTCAGCTCTTTAATAAGTTTTCCTCCACTGTGGGGTAGGGGAAGGGGGGGGGAATGGAATGCAGTGGAAAACCAGGACAATCACTGGGATTTTGCTGAGGCACAGCAGGTGGAATGAGATTTCCAGACACCAATATCTTTGGGCTGCCATCTCACTACACTTCACTGTATTAAGCAATGGTGGCTCCTCAGTTTTATGGGTTAGTGCTGTCTCACTTGTGCTACACAAAACCAGGAGCACTCACCTCTGTTCCTCTTCCAACAGCTCCATCCGCCTCAGCATTTCCTAGAGAAAGAGTGGGAATAGAGAGAAGGGGGAGAGAGAGAGAGAGATGTCTTAGCACCCATGGCTTGGGCAGGTTTGAAGGGGGACTGAATAAAGATGCTTTAGCCTGAGGACTGTATGTCTTCACTCAAATACCTTTATCCCAGAAAACAATTTCTTCCCATGGATCTCCCACATTTTTCATCTGTGTCCCTCCCTGCTGCATATGCCTTTATCCCCTGGCAGAAACACCATGATGGTGCAAGGCCCTGCCAAGGCAAGATGCACTTCTAGTGACTTCACCTGCCAGTTGTCAGGAGCAAAGGGGGCTTTTCTTACCTCTTATCACACATTCATGAGTAACTGAGAAACTGCTGCTGATGCTGGAACAGTGCTGGAGTAAATCCAGGGTAATTTTTCTACTGTCAGTAGGTTTGTACCACAAAGAAGCAAAGCAAAAGACAAGTTGCTGAAGGTCTCTACTAGCAGGAGAAATGATTGGACCCTGAGGTCTCACACCAAAGCTGGTGGGAGCAAGCCATGGCTTTGGTTGGCTTCTCCAGCCCTGACCTGACATCTGGGATCACATGGGTGGAACATGCAGTGAGTGTATTTTGAAAAACAACCCAGATTTGTTCAGCAAAAGTCAGAACTGAAAAGATCTTGGGTTGATTACAGATCCAGAAGTCATCCATATGGAGAGTTTAGACTATATCTCTGTTAACCACCAGCCTGGTGCAATAGCAGAGGGGCTGTAGAGAGAAATGTTTTGGTGTTAAGGACGTGGTACATACTTGTACTCACTGTTTGATATTTCAGGGTTTTACTTTGGACTAGCACTGGTCCAGACCCAGGAGCTGTAGCTCACTATATGCTCAGTTCATCTGAAATGAGTCCAGATTTTGTGCTCAGACAGCTCTGCAGTGGCAACTGCTGCACAGTAAACAGGATGATGGAGAACTTGCTTTGAAGCTCCCTCCTGTTCTGAATGAACCCACAAACACAGACATCCCTGGTGAGCAGGACCTGAGGAGCAGCAACAGCTCATGTTCGCATCCCTGTGCACCATATGGGATTTTGAAAACACAGTTGGCTTAAACATTGGATTTGGTACCGAGAGCTGCATTTTCCCTTGCATAGATTCATTTCCTGTCTTCTTGGATTTGCTTTTTTAAAACCAGAATAGCACCTATTCAGTCTGAAAGGATCACACTGTCCTAGAAATCAGAAGCTCCAGGCTGAATCGTAGCCCCAAAGGAAGAGCATCAGCTCAGCAGGTCTGCTCATTTTTGGGAGCAGGTGCCAGGCACCCTTTCAAAATCTTTGTTTTAGGCTTGCTCACAGACCACTGGTTTAAAGCACGTTGGCCATTGCAGCATTCCCTGTCCAGGGCCACCCAGCACCAGCTGGCCCGTTCCCAGACTCACCTTTCCATGTGACAGACCTGGGAGCTTTAGCAAGGAGAGGAAACGGCTCCGAAGCAAAATGTTGCACTCACCTTGGTAGCAGAAGAGTGCCAGAGAGAGGAGCAGGAAAACACCAGTTGCCTTCATGGTCAAGGTGATGTTTTACTGTGCACAGCAGAGAGAAACTGGGACACTCCTCAGTCTGTCAGAGGTCCTGTTGCTGCTGGGACCTTTATACCTTTCCCAGTCTCTGGCACCACACCAGAGCCAGCTCCACCCCACAGTCTTGTGGTGACAACATTCAAAGTACTGGGACAACACCAGGTGGCAATTGGCTCATTGGTGTGTGCAAAGATGAAAGGCTCTCCGAAGCCAATGGAGTTAACAATCCTTATCACCAGCAAGGGCTGGAGCCCCATCCCAGGTGTGGGAGACAGCCCCGGGTCTGTGCTGCAAGCTGAGATAAAGCAGCTTTGTACAAGAAGCAGGTTGGAGAAATGGGCAGGACAGCAAGGGAAATACATGTGTTAGTAGGATTAGTGTGGCTTTGATTAATGGCCCTGTTGCTGCCACTTGCAAGGTGAAGGAGTTTGGTGAAGCCACTTCTGGGTGAAGATGGTTTTGATACACACACACCTTTCCTGTGGTGCTTTCCACAGAGCAGAGCTGGGGTGTTGCAGCTCCCATTCCTTCCCTGGGCAGACAGGGACAGCAGCAAGAACTGCTGCTGGAGAGCAGGGAGCCTGGCTGTGCCTGGGGCTCGCTTGAGGCTGCACATTCAGTGCTACTATTTTGACTGCACATCTCTGATTGCAGGCAGCAGCCGAGATGAGCCGTTGGGTTGGATGCTGCTCCCTTCCCCTCTCCCTGCCCGTAGTTTGGAGTAAACCCTGGGGATTTCCTACAGTTACACCACCAGTGGTGCATTGCAGAGAGTGGATCAGTCCCTTGGGTATTAGAAGGATTAATTAATGTTTCTAAAGCACTTTGATATCTCAGCCATAAATCACTGGAGAAGTGCAAAGCAAATTATTACTAATGGGGGCTTATGACTCAAAGACAGATTTTTAATTAGCTGAACAGGAAAAAGTCAATGCCAAGAGCAATTCAAGGAGCTGTTTGTGAAAGAGAAATCTCAGCTCCATTGGCAGCTGCTCCACTGTCCAAGGGATACCCCAGTCCGAACACAGCTCTGGAGGATGCTTTCCTCTGCCATGAACATCTCTCATGATTTTGCTTCAGTGGTGAGGGAGATTCCTCCCTCTCAACTGGGTTTCCCTCTGACCTGTAACATGAGGCAGAAAGAACTGCTCCCAATTGCATCTATAATTTTAACTTAGTGAGTAAAGCTGGTTTGGGGTGTGACCTGCCCAGCAGCTCTCGATAGGTGGGCTGAGTGTTTGTGGACCTCTGAGTGCAGGCAACAGTCCTCTAATGTGCCTGGGACAACAGTTCACATGGTGTTATCACCCTCTTGAGGAGCAAGAGAGGAGGGATAATAATTTTTTATATCTGAAAGAGATTCATCTCGATCCAGCACTGTCCCATTACGTGCCAGATCCACAGTGTGAGTAGAGCCAAGAGGTGCCAATAGGTGTTTTGGGCTCAATCCCCAAAGCTGGAAGGGGACTTAGCAAGGGCACTGATGGTTACACAGCAGGGCAACTGGGAGAAAGATTTTCCTTCTCAATCTGGAACGTGTACACAGAGCAGTACTGAAAAGAGTTTCTCTGGTTATCCTTGTTTGGGATGTGCCCACTCCTGGTAAAACACATTTGCACATTTTTCAGTTTAGAGATCCTTGCTCTAGCCAGGAAATGTGATACTTTGGATTGTCCAGAAACAGAAACATCTTTCCTCAAATTCCTTGCAAACATCCAGGCACGTTTCCAAACTTGAGTTTGATGGGTAAAATCCTCAGCGTTTATGAGAAATGCTCTGCAGGTGGGAACTGTGTTGGCTCTTAGACGTTTCAAGTGTGTAACACTGTGGTTTTCTCCTTCCTCCCCAACTCGGAGGCATCAAAGCAGAGGCAGGCTGCTGACCTCCCCCTGCCTCCTGGACACTTCTTTCTTCATCCTCTTACTGCTTAGACTTCTGATAGCTTTGCACTGACTGAATTTCATGTTCCTAACCGCTCCCAGAGCTGGATGAGATTAAGTACTTTGCTACTGAAGCAGGTTGAAGAAACTCCAGATTATGCAATACAATGGACTGAACTTAATTATTCCACAACGAATTGAGCCAAACCAGCAGAGTCAAGGGCACTTGCCTTTGCCAAAAGAAGGATCCAGCACAGACTGCTAAGGCTCCTGCAGCTGAACATCAGGCACACTTGGTTTTTAATGCAGTTTCTCCGTTAGCAATTGCCCTTCCTTTCCAAGCGTCTCTGCTGACAGCTGTGTGTTTATGAGATGCCTTCAAAACCGTGGGATTTCAGGGCTCCTCTCTCCTGATTGACATCTATTCTATATCCTTCAGGAAAATCAAACAGAAATGCTTGGGGCTCATTTGACTGGGGAGGAACGAAAAAGAGCCGCAAACTGCTACTGCGCTGGGTGCTCCCGGTACCGTCCTCGGCAGTGTGGGCTTTCTCAGGATGTGTCACCTTGTCAGAGCAGCGTGTTCCTCCAAACACATCAGCTGGAGGAGTAGAGAGAAAAATGAGTCAGGCGGCTCTGCCAGCCGTGCTGTGTGACTTGCCGGGTGCGGCGCCTGTTGTGGGGAAATGGAGAGGACAGAGAGACCCCGAAGGAGGTGCTGGTATGGGATGGTGTCCCCGTGATCACCTTGTTGGGTGATGGCCACTACACGTGGCATGGGACAGAAGATACCTGCAGTTGCTGGTGGTGTCTTCCCTTGGCTTGTGGAAGGCAACTGGAGAGGGAATTGATGCTACAGAAGGAACGTGGGGAAGGAGGCAAGTTGAACTGTCAGGTCTGCCTCCAGGTGGACCAGCTAGAAGAAGTGATTCTCCTTCTCCAGGATGAATGTCTACATCATCCTTTGGCCAAATCTGAGTGCTTTCAAGTTACATTTTTGTCAATAGTAGAGTGCCGCAAAGGAATAAGAAATTGCGTTGCAGGGGAATGAAAAGTTTGAGAAACTACCTGTCTCCCTGCAATGGTCCATCCATGACAGGCAAGAGGACTACTTGTTGTACCAGGGCCAGTATTTGTTTGTTGTGAAGACCTGATGTCCAGAGAAAAGCCACCAGTGCCTCTAGGAAATTGCAACAGAGTCACCAGTCAAAAGCATTCAAAGATCACAAACCAGACCCAGATGATACATGAAGGGCAGGCACCAGAGTGTCCTCAGTGCTCGGGATGTCAGCAAGGCAGGTGGAGACTTTGCTGCTGCCTTGCAGTGGGTGGGATGAGTGAAGTTTGGAGAAAGGCCGATGCAAATGTGAAACCCAGAGGTGACAAAAAAACAGTTCCCAAAGTTCTCTTGGGTCCAAAGAGCTGCTTGTGTTGGATTTAAAAGCTAAAATCCCTAAAGCTCTGTTACCTGCTGGGTTTGCCAGGCCTGGAGCTTCCAGGTGTATTCAGGACCTTGCCCATGGTATCCAAGACGGTTTTGAAAGCAGTCAGTGCAAGAAGTGCAGGAAAGCAAGCCCCACACAGCAGCACATCCATGGAGAGGAGGAGGTTTACTGTGCATGTACGAGCCTACTGGGAGATCTGCAAGTCACCTGGAGGAAAGGAGATGGTGCAGCTGGATCCATTCAGGTATGGGAGACAGCCATACCCTTTTGCCTTAGAAGGTGAGAGCTAGCAGCATGCAGTGATCAGCTGCTCCTGTATCCAGGGGATACTGCTCAAACACTGATTTTTCCTGCAGAAAAAAACCCCAAACATCAACCATAATTTGGTCTGTAGTGATTTTTGTCTTGGATTCTTTCCCATTAATGCTGAGAAAGCTCTTCTGTTGCTCTGGGTGCATGGAAGATATTGAACACTCTGACAAAGGAATTCTGTGAGTAGCTGCTGGGAAAGCACCCGATATTTTCTCCAGCTGTAGGAGAATCTTTGGAGCCCAGGATAGTATATCAATTTGTTTTCTCTTCTGTTCTGGAAATCTTGCCCTTGGGACCTCTGTTTTCTGGGAGGGGGCTGAGCATAGCTGCAGGATAAAATTAGAAAATTATCATTTCTACTTTTACTAAAGCTTCTGCTTTAGTATTGCTGAACTTACCCTTCAGCAAGGGCAGCATGTCCATGATAGAGACCTTTGGATGTCTGCAGGCATTGGCAGCTTTGCCTGAGAATGGGTATTGCTGACAGCAGTGTCTGAAGACAAAGACATCACATAAATCACAGCTTGTTGAATTGTTCAGAAGAGACCATGCCTGGATGCCAATCAAATGCTTCCCAAGGAGGATGAACATGATGGGGACAGGCCTTGTGTTTGCAAGGATTACTGGCTGAAATTGGCTGGGGTGGAATCACACAGCTCCCTGCTGTGGGGGTAAGTTCCCAGCCCAGCTCTTGGCCTGTTTGCCTCTGCTCTCCTACCACTGCAGTGACAATGAACCCCATGGGCTCATTCCATGAAACCTTTTCCTCCTCTGCTATGGCTTACTGGGCAATGACACGTGGCTGGTGGAAATACCCTGGGCTGTGGTCAGCTCTGGTCACAGCATTGACCTCGGGGCTCTGTCCCTTGCAGGTGGAACAGCTGCTGCCACTGGCTGCCCAGGAGTGTCCCTAGTCAGGAACAGTGCAGGGGGTTCTGGCTCTGGCAAGGCTCTCCTCTCATCGTTTGTGCCCCTCTTCTTGGCTCCCATGTGGGATCTCCATGGGATGTGGAGGCAGCGGGAGCACATGAGGTTGGTCCTCCAGGAAACTGGAGATCTGCTTTTTTTTTGCTTTTCCTGGCATTACTGGAGAAAAACTATCATTTTTCCCACTCCTACAGAAAATGCCAAAAGCAAAGTATTCCTTCATAAAATTGCTTCTTTATTAAATCCTATCTGTCTCCCGCCTCCACATCCGACTGCCCCTGCGGCTGCCAGAGAGATCCAGGGCAGAGTGATTAAGCACTGCGGCCAATAATTGGGTAAACACAGATTTCAATCTCCTCCAGCAAGTCACTCCCCCCTTTCTCCAGCTAGAATCAGCACCCCCTGCCCACTCCCTCTTTCATGGAGCTTAACAAGATGGGAAGCATATGGTATATGCTCTGAAAGGACCATATGGTCCTTTCGGGGTCACAGACTCAGGGAGGATGATCTGGTCTAATCTC